GAGCAGCTGCTGCTGTCCGCACCGCCGTGCTGTGGGTGTCGCTCTGTATGCTTCTGCAGCACCTGGGCCACCACCCGCAGTTCACGGCAGAAGCGATGATCGGAATTGTTCAAGTTAACATTGTGCGATATTTCTCATTTCCCCACAGTATATTCCAATTGACGAATTATGTCAGTTATGGTAGTTCCGTGGATGCCTGTCGTGCATCTGGAGGATATCTCGTAACTGGGCAGTCACTTGCTGCACAAGATGCAATTACCTACCACCTGAAGAGTAATCAACACTACTTCTACCCTACAACTGCCACTTTTATGGGTGGGGATGCAATCTACAGTACCAGATTTGAGCCTGACCCAAGCCAAAGGTGCACACAAGGACGTATTGGTGCTTCAATTAATTGCGTGTACCGATGGAACCAGGGTCTTTTTGCACAAGGAACAGTTGACGGTAAAGGTGTTGATTTTTACAAAGGCTCGCTTTACACTCTTCCAGGTGCAGGACCAATGAATGGGTACACACCGTTCTGGCAGGTCAACTACCCTGCACGTGGTAATCCTTATCTGGTCTCAAGGTTCACGTTCACCGAGGGGACACAAGCCCCATGGTATGATGCTGCAGTAAATCCAAATGGAGATGCCGTACTTATTATTAACGGCTTTTTGGTTGTATGTGAGGTTCAAGGTGCAATTGATGGTTCTACTGCTGCTCCCACTGCTATTCCTACTTCTATTCCTACTACTGAACCTACTACTGCTACTGCCATACCACCAGCAGAGGCATCAGAGCCATCATGGATCAAGAAGCATTGGTATGTCCCTCTGATCATTGCTTTGGTTGTGCTGGCAGCTATCATTGGACTGATTATACTGTGTTGTTGTCTTGGTGGCGGTGACGAAGACAAGTACTTGCCACCAATGGCCACTAGAGAAGCCAGTGACATGCCTCTGCATGCACGTGAAATCACTGATGACGATGATGATGATTATAATGATATTGATGATGACCGGAGTGTGTCCATGGTTCCATCAGAACCGATGCCAATGGAAGATATTGAATCTGCGAATGTATCGGTGTACTCGGTGGCGGAGAATGATATTTACGGTGATGGAGATGTATTCTCGAGGGGTAACCGATAAACATATTGTGCATGAAGCGCATCTGAAGGTGAAAGCACAACTCTAATAATAGAATTCGTTTCAATTGTTTAAGCATGTGAATATCTAATAAATGATTGTTTTTTCCTCTCTGTTTTTCTTTTCTATTATATTTTTGTTTCTAGGTTTTTCGCTTTCCTTGTTTTTCTGACGGTATTTAAAGTGTATGATATACTGTGAATCTCGACTCTGGAACCTTCTTCCATACAACCTCTTAAAGAGAGGGAAGCAGCAAGAGCGAGCTTCTTGAGAGAAACGGGTAAAGAGATAAACTGCAGGAAATATAATAATGAGTCTAACTGTCATAGTGTGTGTTTTGTAATGGGGCAGTGCGCTGATAATACCTATTTCCCCATCATTGTCATAATGAATGTGTATAAGAAAAATTAGAACTAAGAACACCACCTTCTTTTTTGCGTCCAACGTGTGACAAGGATGCTGGGGGAATTAATATGGGATTATCTATTATTTGTACCTTGTTTTAGTATTACTGAAATTATAATCCTATGATTTTCTATTTTTATTGAGTAATGCGGTGGACGCAGAAATCCCAAATTATTGTGCACGATGCTGCACACGGAAAATATAATGGGGAAAGGTTTTTATAAAGTGAATAGGTCTTTATTGAGTTTAAGTTTTCCTCTGAGAACCTCTCTGTGTAGTCCATATTATGTTTTTGCACGTAATATATTTCTCATTTTTCCCTTTTCTCTCTGTGTTAGTGATAAGTTCCAGATATTAAGGCTCAAGCAATGACTGGTGGTGTTCACGTCAGAGCAGCTGCTGCTGTCCGCACCGCCGTGCTGTGGGTGTCGCTCTGTATGCTTCTGCAGCACCTGGGCCACCACCCGCAGTTCACGGCAGAAGCGGAGGGAAGTGTTCAAGTTAACATTAAGCGGTATTTCACAATTCCTAACAGTAAGTTCGCAAGTGCTGGTGGGAGTGTCACTCCCCGTATTTCGGCTACACTGTGTAGTGTGGATGGTGGATCCCTCGTTTCCGGTCAGTCAGCTGCTGCACAAGATGCTATTACTGTCGAACTGAGGAAGGCATTTCCAAATACTGATGATCCGGTACACACGTACATGGGTGGTGATTCAACGTACAGTATTTACACTGAACCTGACCCAAGCAAGAAGTGCAAAAAAGGGTTTTATGGTGCTTCACTTAATTGTATCTACCGATGGAACATCGGGGTGTTTGCAAGCGAAACTGTTGACGGTTACGGTGTTCCATTTTACCGTGGCTCGTATTATACTCTTCCCGGTAGAGGACCAGTGAATGGGTACACGGCGTTCTGGTCTTCAGGCTACCCCAGACAAGGTGAGTCTTATATGGTCTCTCGGTACTGGAAATTTGTGTCGCCCATAGCAAAGTGGTATGATAGCGCAATTGACTCAATGTTGAATCCAAACACACCTCGTGATTCCTTTATTGCTGTTTGTGAAGTTCAAGATGGCCTGGTCGGAAATACCTCATTCCCACCAGCAGAATCAGAGACAACATGGATCCAAAGTCATTGGTATGTTCCTCTGATCATTGCTGTGGTTGTGCTGGCAGCTATCATTGGACTGATTATACTCTGTTGTTGTCTTGGTGGCCGTAACGAAGAGAAGTACCTACACCCAATGGTCATTAGAGAGGTCAGCAATGAACCGCTACGTGCACGTGAAATCACTGACGACGGTGTTGTTGATGTTGGTTATAATAATCAGTTTCACGACCGAAGTGTATCCATGGTTCCATCAGAACCGATGCCAATGGAAAAAATGGAATCTGCGAATGTATCGGTGTACTCGGTGGCAGAGAACGATGTTTACGGTGATGGAGATGTATTCTCGGAGGGCAATCGATAAACATATTGTGCATGAAGCCCATCTGAAGGTGAAAGAACAACTCTAATACCAGAATTCGTTTCAGTTTTTTTAAATGTGTGAATATCTAATAAATGACCTTTTTTCCCTCTCTGTTGGTTTTTTTTTATTGTATTTTTGTTACCAAGTTATTGGCTTTTCTTGTTTTTCATGCAGTATTTGCACTCAATCATAATGTGTGAGTCTCGATCCTACAACCTGCTTACATATGCCCTCTTTGAAGAGGGAAGCAGCAAAAGTGAGCCTGTTGATAGAAAAGTTATAGAGCAATAAACTGCAGGAAAGATAATAATGAGCCCAACTGTTATAGTGTGTGTATTGTAATGGGTAGCGCGCTGATAATACCAATTTTCCTATCATTGTCGTAATTTAATGTGTATAAGAAAAATTAGAACCTTTAGCACCACCTTCTTTTTTGCATCCAACGTGTGACAAGGATGCTAGAGGAATTAATATGTGATTATCCGTTATTTGTACCATGTTTTAGTATTACTGAAATTATAATGCTATGATTGTTTTTATTTTTATTAAGAAATGTGATTGACGCAGAAATTCTGAAATTATTGTGCACGATGTTGCACACGGCAAAAAAAAGGGGTTGGTTTTTTTTTTTCTAAACTAAATATAATTTTATCAAATCTACGTGTTTTTATGAAGACCTCTCTGTGTAGTCCATATTATGTTTTCTGCACGTAATATATTTCTTGGTTTGTCCTTCTCTCTGTGTTAGTGATAAGTTCCAGATATTAAGACTCAAGCAATGACTGGTGGTGTTCACGTCAGAACAGCTGCTGCTGTCCGCACCGCCGTGCTGTGGGTGTCGCTCTGTATGCTTCTGCAGCACCTGGGCCACCACCCGCAGTTCACGGCAGAGGCGCAGGGAAGTGTTCATTTTAACATTCTGCGGTATTTCACACTTCCCAACAGTAAGTTCGCTGCTTCTTTTCCTGCTGGACGTGTTGATTTTAGTAATTCCGTGGAAGCCTGTCGTACATCTGGTGGATCTCTTGTGTCGGGTCAGTCAGCTGCTGCACAAAATGCCATTACGGTCCAGCTGAAAGGGGCGTTGCCTATGGGTCAGTCTCTCTCTCACACTTACATGGGTGGGGATGCAATGTATAGTGTTAACTGGGAGAAGGACCCAACGAAGCAGTGCACACGAGGGATTCAAGGTGCTTCACTTAAATGTATCTACCAATGGAACATTGGGCTTTTTACGAGTGAATCAGTTGACGGCCAAGGTGTTTCCTTTTACCGTGGTTCGCTTTATTCTGTTCCCGGTGCAGGGCCAGTAAATGGGTATACGCCGTTCTGGCCTTCCAACTACCCTGCACACGGCCAGACCTTCATGATCTCTCGGTACGTTTCAGGGTCAGGTGTATCATCAACATGGTATGATGGCTATGGGTTGGCATCATCGAATGCGGAAACACCCGCTGGGAGCTATCTTATCGTATGTGAAGTTCAAGATTCGGCTGCTGTAAATACTACCACCCTCCCACCAAGAGAAGCACAGCCTTCATGGATCCAAAGTCATTGGTACGTACCTACTATCATTGCTTTGGTTGTGCTGGCAGCTATCATTGGACTGATTATACTCTGTTGTTGTCTTGGTGGCCGTGACGAAGAAAAGTACCTATATCCAATGGTCATTAGAGAGGCCAGTGATACGCCGCTACGCGCACGTGAAATCACTGATAACGATGATGATTATTATAATGATAATGACAGAGATGTGTCCATGGTTCCATCACAACCCATGGCAATGGGAAATATTGAATCTGCGAATGTATCGGTGTACTCTGGAGCAGAGAATGATATTAACGACGATGGAGATGTGTACTCGGAGGGCAACCGATAAACATATTGTGCGTAAAGCACATCTAAAGGTGAAAGAACACCTCTAATACCAGAATTCGTTTCAATTGTTGTTTAAGCATGTGCATATCTAATAAATGATCCCTTCTCCTCTCTGTTGGTGTTTATTATTATTATTATTATTATTATTATTATTATTATTATTATTATTATTATTATTATTATTATTATTAGATTTTTTGTTTTTTAGGTTATTGGCTTTTCTTGTCTTTCATGCAGTATTTTCACACAATCATAAAGTGTGAGTCTTGATTCTACAACCTGCTTGCATGTGCCCTCTGTGAAAGAGGGAGCAGCAAAAGTGAGCCTGTTGATAGAAAAGATATAGAGAGATAAACTGTGAGAAAGATAGTGAGTCTAAATGTCATTGTTTATGGTTTGTCATGAGGCAGTGCACATATAATACCTATTTCCCCATAATTCTCCGAATTTATGTGCATAAGAAAACGTAGAGCCAGTAACACCACCTCTTTTTTTTTGCCTCCAATGTGTGACAAGAATGCTTGGAGAATTAATATGTGATTACCCGTTATTTGTACCTTGTTTTAGTATTACTGAAATTTTAATCCTATGATGTTCTTTTTTTATGGAGAAATGCGGTATACGCAGAAATCCGAAATTATGGTGCACCATGTTGCACACGGAAAATATAGTGGCGAAAGGTTTTTATAAACTAAATATAATTTTATTGAATCTACGTGTTTTTAAGAAGACCTCTCTGTGTAGTCCATATTATGTTTTTGCACGTAATATATTTCTCATTTTTCCCTTTTCTCTCTGTGTTAGTGACAGGTTCCAGATATTAAGGCTCAAGCAATGACTGGTGGTGTTCACGTCAGAGCAGCTGCTGCTGTCCGCACCGCCGTGCTGTGGGTGTCGCTCTGTATGCTTCTGCAGCACCTGGGCCACCACCCGCAGTTCACGGCAGAAGCGCAGGGACTAGTTCAAGTTAAAATTTTGAGGTATTTAACACTTCCTAACAGTGTATTCTCACTTCTTCCCGGTCAGACGGTCAATTACGGTAATTCCTTGACATTGTGTAATATGAATGGGGCATTTCTCGCCTCTGGTCAGTCAACTGCTGCACAAAATACCATTACTGACCAGATGAAGGCTGGGATGCCCACGGGCGATACCCTCTCAACCACTTACATGGGTGGGGATGCAATGTACACTGTCAACGTTGTCCCGAACCCCGAGCTGAGGTGCACACCAGGGATTGAAGGTGCTTCAGCTAATTGTGTCTACCGGTGGAACATGGGACTTTTTAAAAGCGGTGTATTTGATCAAGGTGTTCCATTTTACCGTGGCTCGCTTT